CATGGCAACACTCATTTGACCTTCTGAGGTCAGATCTGTTTCTCTAACTTATAGATCTGGCCTTCTAGCACCCAAAAGTCACGTAAAGGTTCAACCTTTATGTCCATACACCACACAACAAGCTCTATTTGATGAAATAACCCTCAAAATGGTAACCTAGACCCAAAACTCTTATGGGACTGCATAAAGCTGGAAGATTGGGACTCTCTGGATCTCTCAAGGTCCAGATATAATGTCTATGCGTCAAAGGACTCTACATGCTCCATAATCTCTACGAAAAATGGGTAAAGAAACCCTAGATTCATGAGATCTACTTTATACACGAAAATAGGCATGGATTCATACCTCAAACAACAACCTTTGAAGAAGTGATAGTAGATCTCAGCTCCTCAATCAGCCTAGCTTGAATCCCCTCCTTCCTTCTTGCAAGAATGCATTAATGGTGATGTAATTAACTCCTTCTCTCACTCTCTATGCTCTCTGGTTCGTTAGGGTCTCTCAAGTGTGTGTGTGGCCGCAAATGAAGGCCATAAGGGCCTTTAAATAGGTCACAAACCTGGGCAATTAGGGTTTCTCTGCCCAGCACCTACTCGGCGATTCCCTCATCTGACTCGTCGAGTCCACTCATTAAATCCACGCGAGCAACTCGATTTGACTCGGCGAGTTGGTCCCTCAACTCGTCGAGTCCCTCCTTCAATCTCAAGATTAACATACACAGTAATGTTCCTGAAAATCCGGATGTTACAATATGTTTACCGAGCAGAGCTCGATGCTAGGCGGGGCATGAAGAGTATATTGTATGCTAGTTAGCCGTATGTGTTTTGTGATTACCGGGCGGGGCTCGATGCCGGGCAAAGCCCAGTAGCTGCATTGTATGTTATTGTTTATGATTTTTGTATGTGTTAGTATGGTTATGTGACATATGTTTATGAGTATATTGGGCGGGGCCTAGAAATAACATATATGTATACCGAGCGGAGCTCGATGCCGGGCGGGGCCCGAAGCCGAGTGGGAACTTGATACCGGTCGGGGCCTAGTATGTGATTTATTATGTATGGTATGTGGTATCTTGGGGAACTCACTAAGTTTTGTGCTTACAGTTTTCAGTTTATGTTTCAGGTACTTCGGTTTTCAAATGGAAGAGCTCGGGATGATTGCAGAGCACACACCACATGTTTCCGCATTCTGTGATTTACTCTGATAACGACGATGTATTAATATAGCTTTGATTACCTTGGTTTATGAAAATGAGATGATGTACTATTTAGTAATTTAAAAATGAAAAGTTTATGGGTCTTGTTTTTGGGACGTTACAACTTCCCTTTAACGGACCACCTCACAGTCAATCTTCATCGGTCGAGGCCTAGATCAATGCTTCTCTTTAACCTAACATAACCACCACACTGTCAGTCTTCATTGGTTTCTTCGCTTTTATCTTCTTCTCAATCGCTATTTTCGTGTGTTTTTAGTCGTAGTTCCGGTATATGTTTATATAGAGTTTGAATGTTTAAGAGTGGTGGTTTTTATTTGTGTTTTAATTGAGTTTGGTAAAAAAAATTGGGAAAAATAATTTAATTGGGGTGGATAGGTGTTGATTTATTTTTTATTTTCAATAAATTATCTTAGGGAAGTGACCAAAAAAGTTGATATATGAGGTAATAGCGGAGACTTGAAAATATAATGTCGGAAGTGATGGTGGACAGTAATGGAGGGAGACTCGAAAATATAATGTCGGAAGTGATGGTGGACAGTAATGGAGGGAGACGGGAGATAGGGTGGGTGGGATTGTGTGTGGTAAAACCTTTATAATTAAATTTAATGATTTTTAAATTTTTAAATAAGTTTTAAAAAAATTAAATTAAATTAAAAATGATAAAATAGTCATTTTATCATTTTTAATAGTAATTTTACATGTTTATAAAATTGAAACCATAAAGACCATTCACATAAAAATGGAGATTCACAACGACTTTTGTTACACCATATGAATCAATAGTTATACATCCCCCCCCCCCCCCCCCTCTTCTTCAACTTCACACCATTTGTTCTTTATTCTCATCACGATATCTTCTCTCTCTCTCTCTCTCTCTCTCTCTCTCTCTCTCTCTCTTACCTCTGTGGTCTTCTCTCTTCTTCATCTTCTCCCTCTGATGAAGTTGAAGAACCCTAAGCAGGGGTAAAAACATCATTACCACCCTTCCTCTTCTCCCCTCCCCTTAAACTCGAGAACACATTTATCCTTTCCTCATTCTCCTTCCATCTCATTCCCTTTCTTTCCCCTCCTCTCCCTTCCCTTCGCCCTCGTTAAAAAATAATCTTGAGAACACGATGTTAATCTTACGTATCCCTCCCTCATTTTCTAAAGTAGCGTTCTTCTTAGAGCATTTTATATATCATGTTTCATTAATTTTTATTTAGCCAAAGTTATTGTTACAATCACTTAACATTTTCAAAAGAAATTTAACTACTCTAATCTTATTTATCGTAAGTTATATAAAGTCCCCTCATATAACGTTACACATAAAGAAGATTAACTACTTGTAACACCCGGATTTCCAGGTATATTATTTTAATTATTTATTTTTGAGAATCATTGATCTACTCGACGAGTCGGTGCTATAACTCGTCGAGTAGAAGCGGGGTGGCCACGTAAGTTTAATGAACTACTCGACGAGTCCAAGAGTAGACTCGCCGAGTAGGCGTTGTGGGTGAAAACCCTAAATCCTCGGGCCTGTGCCCTATTTAAGGAACCGTATGGCCCTCATTTGCGGCTACCAGTCCAGAGAGAGAAACCCTAGTGAGCTTGAGCGTGTCGTGTGAGGAGAAGGGTTATTTTAATCCTTGTTGGTGTGGTTTTTGCAAAGAAGAAGGAGATTCCAGCAAAAGAAGGTCAAGGGGGTTGCTATTCTGTGGTTTCAAGTAAGGAAACTCCATCTCTGAGGTATTAAATCGAACCCTTCTTATGTTTTGGTGTAGAACCCTTGAATCTAGGGTTTTCTCTATCCTTTTTTGGCTTGGATATGATGCTTATGATGTCCCTTTGAGTGTTAAACTCTGGATCTGGACCTTGAGAGGTCCAGAGAGCCCTAACCTCCCTGCTTTATGCTACTCCATTAGAGATATGAACCTAGGTTGCCATTTTACAAGCTATTTCACCAAAAGAAGCCGTATGTTGGTTGCATGAGTATAAAGGTTGAACCTTTCCGTGATTATTGTGTATGGGAAGGTCAGATCTATAGGTTAGAGAAACAGATCTGACCTCAGAAGGTCGTTTGAGCATTCTCATGGAAGAAACTCGCCGAGTCCATGAGCGGACTCGATGAGTCGGATCGTGTTGCACCACGGTTCGTGTTCATGGGTAACCCGTCGGAGAAAGGTTGACTCGACGAGTCGAGTGAGGCCTTGAAGGATTCAGAGGACACGCATGGACTCGCCGAGTCACCTGAGTGCACTCGACGAGTCTGGTCAAAGTTTAACCGTTGACTGGGGTTGACTTTTAGGGTTTTGGTCAAACTGGTTCAAGAAAGGACAGGGAGGGGTAGAATGGTCTTCTACCCATTCTTTAGGAATAAGGACAAGAGTAAGTATTGATTAGAGATGTTATTATGTTGATAGGAGGAAGCTAGATCGGGTTATCGAGCAAGAGAGATTATCTGACATCGTACGAGGTGAGTCTTCTCACTATACTTTACCTGGAATGGTAACTATGAGTGACCGGAAGGTCTTATGTTTATGAGTTATGAAATGTGTGACCGGAAGGTCTTATGTGCTAGGACGAGTACATGATATATGTTCCTATGTGATATGTATATGTTATGTATGTTATGAGTAGCATGGTATGGACCGGAAGGTCAGTGTGATATGGACCGGAAGGTCAACATGGTATGGACCGGAAGGTCAACATGGTATGGACCGGAAGGTCGACAGAGTAGGATCGGAAGGTCGATGGAGTAGGACCGGAAGGTCTACTCCAAGAATGGGACCGGAAGGCCCCTGAGACACATTTACCGGAAGGTCTAGTAGAGTTATAGCCTCGAGTGGCTAGTTGTATGTGCATGGTATTTTGGAGAACTCACTAAACATTTATGCTTACCGTTTATGTGATATGTGTTTCAGGTACCAGCGAGGATCGCAGGAAGGCGCCGACATGATTTGTACACACTGATGGAGTTTTATGTATTGAGATCTTGGGATTGTTTTATTTGGATGACATATGTTACACTGGGTTTTGATGTATGAAATTATGTTTTAAAAACGAAAAATTATTTTGGAAATTTACGTTGTTACACTACTCTAACCTTATCTATCGTAAGTTATATAAAATCCCCTCGTATAGAGTGATTTTTTAAAACACATTTTATATAACTTGATATTTTTCAAATACATCTCATATAATTCAACATTTTTAAGCATACGTCATAGATAGACGGGGTGTGCGATGGATCTCCGATGGCGCTCATGTGTTGGATCTCGGTTGTTCTTCATCTTTATGGGTTCACGATGAGAGATGCGGTGGAGAGTAGGTTTATGACAGTGGACAACTATATAGATTAGGATTGTGTTCTTTGTGGGTTACTTGTTGGTTTAAGAAGAAAAAGAATGAATGATGACCATGAGAGAGAGAGAGAGAGAGAGAGAGAGGCCATACTTTATTTTTTATTTATTCAAATAATAAGATAATGTTAAAAAATGTAAAAAGAAAAAGGATAAATCAATATTTTCACCATAAAAAAAATTCATATTATAAACCTTTCATGCAAATTGAAAATATTTTGGATATGATTCACAGTTCTTTGCAAAGACCTTTGCACTTTACTCAAAAAAAAAAAAAAAAAAAAAAAAAAAAAAAAAAAAGGGTTAATGCTTTAATTTAATGTCCACTTAAAAACATGTAGAAGGTCACCAGAGTAAATTTAAATGCAATAGTAACATTTTAAACTTAAAATAATTGTTTCTTAACAAAACGATAGTGGGTGTTTTTGGTATGATCTTATTGACCTTTAAAACACATGAACTCTCTCTGATTTGAAGTTCCGGAGCTTAAGGAAGCTTGGACGATAAGCGATTCCAGTGAAACATGGGTCAAAAAAATCCGAGTTTGCAATTGTTCCCTTCTCAAAAGAACACGCCAACAATTTGTCTTCATAATAAACCATCAAAATTGTTCCATCATTTAAACGTTCAATCAGACACACAGGTTCCCACATCAACCAATCTAAAGCAGGGCTAACACCTTCCTTGATCATCACCTCTCTATGCCAAGATTCCTTGATCCCATATTCCCTCATCACCCACAGCGTGAATTGAGACTCAAAGGTATCAGATTGACATAAACAACCTTTAAGAACTGCCAAACTTAGGAAATGGTGACTTCCTTGTATAGTTTCAACAGGAGGAGATGGGAACAACTTAAATGTCTCGTTATCCAAATCAAAAGCAAAAAGTTTTTCAGGGGAATCTTTGCCAAACACAGACCAATGAACATGGCCATTGAAAAATAGCCCAAAGAAACCTCCAATCGTGTAAGGGACATGACCAAGACTTCTCCATTTACCCATGCCAAGGGTGTAAACTTCAGCTTCTCTGATCCGAGATGTGGATGTAGTCCCTTGGAAGATCCGTATCACTTTGTATTCTCGTGTCCTTGAACAGACTCCAAAACCATGCTCGATTCCCCCATAACCTTGTTTATGGTAATGTTGTGTGGGGAGGATCATATATTCCCTCCATCACTGGATTGCATATGAAATAGTTATCAGAGTTAAGTCCATTCCACAGGCAGAGCAAACCATTGACCGAGCCCACAACAAGTATTTGAGCGTCTTGGAAAATGGGTGCAAGATTAAGGTCAAGACTCATGGCAGGGTCATGCTGTAAATTGTGGTGATTGACTTTGTTTTCAAGCTCCACCCACTTCAAAATACCTGCTCTCTCGTTAATTTCAGAACTATGATGAATCATAAGGCTTGCAGGTGATCTTGAGAGGTGAAGATTGGCAAAGTAAGAGTCGGAAACGAGATCCAGCCACTTCTTGCATACACACTTGCATTGGATGATTGTCTTCACAGGAAGTCTTGACAGAATGTCGGACATGACAGGTACTGGTAAGTCTTCCATTGATATGACCTGTTAACAAACCCTAATTAGAATTCCTAATTCACAAATTAAGAAACCCTAACAAAAATGATACTGGTAGCAGAATGCTACTAACCAAAAACTGTCCGTAAAACAAATTACTTTAAAAAAAAAACATTACAAATCAAAAAATGGTTGACAATCAATAAGTAGCAAATAGAATCTCAATTAACAATATAACTTTCCTACTGATAAATAATCATCATCATCATCTAAAACGAGTATTACTTAAAAATATTTTCAAGAGAGATCAGGAGGCGAGACTCGAGAAAAAAAACTGATAAAGAGAGACCACTCACCAAGATCGAAATCGAAACCGTGAGACTGCAAAAGAAGCGGCAGGACTCCTCAGTTTTGTTTCAGAGATACGATGGGCGGGACTTTAAAAGAGGGGAGGGGGCGCTCAAAAATAAAAATTGGGGGCGGGATACCTTTTTCATTTGATAAAAATTTAATGTTAAATTTTGACAAAATTGTAGTTAGGTAATTTGGTTTACTATTTCTTGGATAGGATGATAGATCCAACACATTTTAATTTTATAAATATATTTCTTTTAGTGGTGAGCATTGGTCAGTTTGAGTCATGAGGCAGTTTTGATCTAAAATCGAACCAAAACCAATTTATCAGTATTCAGAAAACTAAAACCCAACACAACCCAAAACAGTTGTGTTCGGTTTCTTAGTTTTCGGGTTTTCTCCGGTTCGGTTTCGGATTGGTCGGTTTTAAACCCATAAATCTTAAACTTAGCAACTCAGCCACCAATTAATAAAGAGTTAGGTTGGGACTAACTAATTCTCAAGAGTAGTAGTAGTCTTATATAGAAGGCTTGAGTCGACATAGATTTATACCACCACCGACGTTGGACAACTCCAACTATATAATGAAAAGGAAGGAAGAAGATACAATGTTAATATAGGATTTGAGATGGGAGAAGGTTTCATCCCACCACCGATGTGGGATGAATTGAACAAACTAGTAAACTTTAGGGGGTGTTTGACTTAGCTTTTTAGAGGCCAAAAGTCATTTTAGGAAAAAATAGAAGGTAAAAGATGTTTGGCAAATGCATCTTAAAAGCTACTTTTGGATTTGGATACAAGTAAAAATGAACTTTTTGGAAAAGTCAGGAAAACCTGACTTTTTGTAACTTTTCAAAAAAAGGACTTTTGCACCCTAAAAAACTAAGTGAAACACTCCCTTAATGCGTGGAACAAAATCATTGCTTATAAGTAGCTCAAGGTTGTCTGGCAACGCATTGAACCAATTCAGCTACCATGTCTTTGCGATTTAGCTATACAAAGTATCTATATATCTATGGAATCTCTTTAGAAAATATATATTTTTAATAAATTCGGTTCGGTCGTTTTTTATCGGTTTTTGCATATTCTAAAACCGAAATCGGACCCATTATTTCGGTTTTTAAAAATTCAAACTCAAACCATCGGTTTTTACTTCGGTTTTGGCTTTTTCGGTTTTTCGGTTTCTGGGTTCGGTTTTTCTCACCCTTAATTTCTTTTTTGAAGAATATTTTGTTTGTTATTTCTGTCTAAATAATAATGATTTTTTTCTTTTTGTTTATGTAGCTTGTTTTTTATATTTTTAAACATTTATTTAGTATTCATTAAATTATAGAAAATACATAATTTCTTTATTTATAATTTACAAAAGATAATATGATAAGTCTTTTATTTTTTTATTATGTTTTTTGTTATGTAGATGATTTTTATGGTTTCAATTTCTTATGTTGTTAGTTAATGTAGTTATATTATGTTTCATAATTGATCTAAAATTACTATTTTACCTATAGTTTTATTTTTTATTAATTTTTGTTTCTTAGTCTATTGGTTAGATTTCTCATACATTCCTTTCATTATGTCTCTCATCTTTCCACATGTGCTACCACACATTGTCACCACAACCACTTACAACTACCACACATTGTCACCGCAACCACCTATTGTCACCACCCAACACTGTCGCAATCACCCAAAATCACCCAAACGCCACATCTATTTATCTATCACTTCCACAACCCAACGCTGCCAAAAGACAAAGTTGCCAAAACTATCGAATTTATCACCATCTATGTCATTCCAAACATTACCTAAAGACAATGTCGTATGAACCACCACCATCACTCAAGTTGACCACCAATGTTGCTTCATTTCAACCTCGTAGTACCACAACATTGTCTTCATATCATTTCTCATCAGCCACCACAACGCTACCGTAACAACCAAAAAATCGTGATAAAATTTCTCATTGAAAGACTATCAATTTCATTCATTAAATTGTTTCAAAACCATCACCGAATATAATATCCAAAATATGAGTACAATTATTAAAAATGCGGAAAACATAATGGGAGGATGTTGTGTCATCACGTCGGGTCCTTCCCTTTCGAACCAGAAGTACCTGAAACCATAAACATAAACTGTAAGCACAAAGCTTAGTGAGTTCCCCAAAGTACCACATACAAATCATACAATTGGGCTTAACCCTAGGGTGTGTTCCAACCCAATACACATATATGGTCCCGGCCCTGGGGCCTCGCCCTAGGCTATATTTCAACCCGATCAACAAATATGGGCCCCGCCCTGGGGTATATTTCAACCCAATCATACAATAGTGGGCCCCATCCTGGGGTCTATTTCAACCCGAACATGCTATAGTACGCCCCACCCTGGGGTTATTTCTAGGGCTGTGCATGGGTCGGTTTGGGTCGGTTTTGGACCCCAACCCAACCCAACCCGTAAATGATCGGTTTCTGGTTTTCAGAACCCAATAGGGTCGGTTTCTGGTCGGTTCGGTTTCTCGGTTTCTGATATCGGTTTGGGCGGTTTCTCGGTTTCTTGGGTTCAACCCATACACTTACGGTTTCTGGGTTTAAACCCATTTTCCAGAAATGTAACAATTAGTTAAATAATTCAAAAAACACCTAATTGAAGTTAAATACTTCAAAAAACATGAGTTTTACAACCAAATTGTCTATTACAACCAAACACACAATCAAACTAAAACACAAAGTCCGAAATTGTCGATTAGACGATTACAACCAAACACACAATCAAACTAAAACATAAAGTCTGGAATAGTCAAATAGTCGATTACAACCAAAAGTCCAAAACACGCAAACAAAAATCTTCAATCCACATCCATGTAAATCTCTTCACCAATTCCCCATTCATCTACAAACCAAAAAACATTAGTATTGATCAATGATTATTGAGTAATAAACTTGTGTAAAAGTATAAAATTATAATAATTGAGTTATAAACCTTTAAAATTTAAGTAAAATCCTCATCCATGCAACTCCCTTGACCACACCCCAATTCCTCTACAAACACAAACGTACAAAACAATAGTATGTAATTAGTTAATTATAAACATATATAATTACAAACTTATAATTATGTAAAAAATAGTAAAATATTTACCGGTTTCTATTGGCACCAACTTCTCTCGCGTCTCTTCCATATATAAAGTCGTCATATTTTTAAACTGGATATCAATTGGGGTGTCCCGTATCCAATCTTGTGCGCAAATTAAAGCTTCGGCAGTCACATGTGTAAGGGAGCTTCTACTTTCATCAATCACCCTCCCGCCAGTACTGAATGCGGACTCTGATGCAACTGTAGAGATTGGCATTCCTAAAACAAGTTTCGCCACCTCAGAAAGTACAGGAAACTTTGTTGAATTAGATTTCCACCACCCCAAAATCTGGAAATCCTCCGCTCGCTTTTCCATCCCATCTGATAAATAAATCTCAAGCTCTGTTTTATTAACCCCATGGCCATGTTGTTCCATAAACCTTTCAAAATCGTCTTCCATATCAACACCATGCCCAAAATCAAAATAACTAGGTGTAGAAGACGATGCACTCCTTGTCTTTTCACATCTTTCTCTCTCCGTCTTGTTCTTGAAGTTTTGAAACAAGTCTTCTAGTGTTTTGTTGACATGCTCTAGAATTGTTTTTGTTTTGGTAGAATTCTTACCATAAATCAACTCCAAGCAATACTCCAAATAACACATCTTGTTGCGGGGATCTAAAACGACAGCAACATGAAGCATGAAGTTCATGTTCTCAATGTTGTCCCAATATTTGTCGTACTTTTCTTTCATCGACTTTGCCATCCTTTTCTTTTTCTCGTCTGTGCTTGCACACATTCTAGTTATGCTTGCTTGCATTGTCACAAGTTCCTTAAAAAATATATTTGCTGTCACATATATGTACATATATAGATAGATAGATAGATAAAATATACCTAGCAACCTCCCAATCGTCGGCATCGGGAGTCCCCACAACTTTCTCATTTCTTCTTCTTTTTCTCGTAGTCACCTCACCATCATCAACCTCACTTCCGCAAATTGCCAAATCGACAAAAAAGAACAGAAATCAGAAAAAAAAACGAAATCAGAGACACGTTGACACATTCTAGTGATTCTACATGAACACAACATTCAGATTTCAGAACATAAGCACATCAAGGGAAATAAGAAAAAAAAAACGAAATCTGAGGAACGAACCGTATTTGGTGGCGCCGGAAGTTTGGGGTTCCGTCGGAGCCTCGGATGTGTGCGAGCGGCTAAGCGTCGGAGGATGGAGGACCCTCGCTTCACTCTTCAGTCGTCTACTCGTCTTCAGTTCAGTGGGATGCGCCGATGGGGAATGCGAGACTGTGAGTACCGAGGGCGAGTAGGGCAAAACGAAAACGGGAGTCAATGACCTAGGCTTCTTTTATTTATTTTTATTTTTTTAATATACATATATATATATATATATATATATATATATATATATATATATATATATATATATATATATATATATATATATATATATAAAATAATCAGTAAAAAGCATCAGGTTTGCGAGTTTACTGCGTCGGTTTCTCGGTTTTAAAGAGGGGTCGGTTTCTCGGGTTGTTGGGTCGGTTTCTGGGGGCAAAACCGAAACCGAACCCGAAAAGTCGGTTTTTACAAA